TCTTCTCAGACTACACGCATTACTACTACCTTAAGTTATTGTAAACATCAAATGCGCCGATGCCACTGCCGTGTTATCGCATGTGCACACAATAAACCGCGCACGGCCGGTGCTAAAATGTTATAACACGAATTTGTACCTGATTTTGAATATGCCAGTATTTAAAATTGTTGCCGTTCTTAATTTAGGACCTGACGTTTACGAGACACCTTAATGCTTGCAAACAGCATTTTGCGTATTTGTGATGCATACCCTTGAACTTCAGACTGATTTAAATATAATTAAAATTAAATTATGTGAGCATTTGGGTATTAAAACTAAATAGATTCTATTTTCTTTGAAAGAAAAATAAAGAACGAGAACAGACGCAAATACAGTACTTAATTTTACATGCCGTCAAACTGAATTACAGCCGCGAAGAAGAACACTCATTTCAGGTTAAGAAACGTTCGCCGCCAATTTCAACAGAACTAGACGTTATCTGCTGATTACTATCAGACTTTCTTTGAGAAACGGTACTTTGCTAAGTACGTCTTTTCTTCAAGAAGTTTCCTACAACTTACTAATATTTTTGTACGCTGTTGGCATGTTTTTGATTCCTCAACACGAGTTCCATTATTATTTTTAAATTTTTAATGCGTAGGATAAATGACCTACAGACCGCTTCATAAATATAAGATTAAAAGGCAGCACGTCTACTTTCTTAACTCGCATTTCGAAATCATGCTACGGATATTATTCTCAGCACTTGAAACGTAACTTTAAAATAGACACGCGTGCATTACGATGTAAACTAAACTTCAAGCAAATATTCTGTTTCACGGTTATTGATCAAAGTACTGAGAACCGAACACATGACGAAGCTTTTATTTTGTTGTAAACTGTATCAACATTTAAATACGTACTCCAGCTCCACAGAAAGCCCGCGTTTCTTTAGATTCCGTAACGTCAATGTGAAATGTGGTTGAAAACGAAACAAAATATGCCAGAGAAATGAATACGAGCGCTGGCTTATGAATTCTTTCGTAAGTAAAAGGAAATAAATTAAATATAGAATTTTGAAGAAAATGTTAGCATTACAAGTACGAAGCAGAACTTCTTAGCTATGGCTCTTATAAAACATCACACGCCATTAATCGAGTCTGAAATGAGAGCACAAATCTCGAAAGTTAACGACATTCAACAAACATCGTTTTATATAACACAACCATTTCGCAGCCATCGGTCAATTTACAAGGTAAAATCGAATGCAATTGCACATCCAATCAGAGAGGTGAAGGAGTAAAAGTGTTCATTTGTCTTTAATAATGTCCTCGTTGGCTACAGAACGAAAGCACTGCACAGCCGTGGAATGCCACGGAAAGAACACGCAAGCGACACTTCGTATTCTCTGAAGGAAACGTTACACGAGGTGACGTTCGATGTCAGTACACGACCGACTTGTTTGTGGATGCCAACTTTCTGAGAAACAAGTTCTCTGTAGCCTCCTCAAAATCTGCAAAACATCACTTTCCTTCACATTACATAAGATTGCACACGCATTTCGTATTGTTCATAAAGTACAGTTCTTGATGCAGATATATAACAAATTCGTCCTTATGTACATAAATCAATACTTCATAATATAGGCTTATTAGTAATAATATTAATAATAATCATATTTGTACAACTTGACAATAAATGTGGTAGAACTCTGAAATGACACGTGTTCCTTTCAAGCAGCTTTCGAAAGACACAGACGAGATGAAATTATCGTAAAAGGATGTTTCTTCACCACGAGTACATGAACGGCACCTCCATAATGTATGCACGTAACTGCATCGTAAGTCGACTGTCATATTCCAAAATTGTGTTTCTTTTGCTGTATAGGAGCCAAACGTCGAAAATGCATTAAAATGATATGTGAGTGTTTTAAGAAATCGTTTTATTAAAATTTTAAGCCCAGGAAAGCAACATTTGTAGTGCAGCACTACAAACACGACAACACGAAACTACAACAATGCAATATACGTCGGTCTCTCAACACTTACCAAAATATTTCCATTACGTCACTACAAAAAGTATGTTCGTGCAATTACATGACTTGGCCTTCCACAATATTCACGATACATTTCTCGAAAATTGGCGCGCGAATGTCTGTAACAATCTGATGACTATATTTGAATAAGTTTTGGGCAGAAAAACTGAGTCCTGTTCGCTGGGTTTGTCGTAGGCCCAATGTCGCGGTTCTGAGAGGTACCGATAATTCCTTCTCGTCGTGTCTTCCAACATTTACGACGCACTGGAAGTAATGACAAACCGAAGGCTAACTCAGTCGCCAACTCAACACATACTTCACAGACTTCAAGAACCTTTCAACGTGCCTTCAATCTGTGACATTAATTTCGAGTTTCTTCCTCGCTCCTTGTGGTCAGCGGTTTCCGTTTTTCAACGAATGATTTAACAAAAAGAGAGAACAACAAAATCACATCAACAAATTGTAATTAAAACCAATAGAGGTCCTTTGAGGATTCTTGAACTTGCGCCTCCAGCCCTGAAAAAGAAACAAACATTGCATCAGAGGCAAATTTACAGCTCCTGGACTACTGAAAATGCAGCCAAGACCCGGTCTAATTACCGGAGCAATGGCTCGCTATGATCTAGACAACAAAACACAAGACAAACATGAAATTTTCGACCCAGGCTTATGTAAAACACAGGTCAAAATACGTAAAGACTAAAAATTCGTGCGGCAATTGGTGAAATGTTAAGAATTGTGAACACGAAAATTAGAAAGGAAGGAATGCGGAAGGAGGTGACCGACAGACTCGCAGTTTGTTACAAAGCGGACGGAGAGGAAATTAATTCGGAAGTCTCGAGCCTAAAGCACTGACGGCACATGGAGACGGCTCTTCACGTAAACGGATTATGCGTCTAACACTAACAAGCACTGCAACACAACGCCGGCAGAAGGACTGGGCGCCATGTTGCTTGCTGCGTATCTGAGGGACTGCAAGCGACTTAAGTAACGAGCTTAACCTCTACGACTGGTCAATAAGTTCATCCCTCACTGCACGCCAACTCCACGTCGCGGTGAAACTACTTCGTGGTAGCTATCAGATAGCAACGCGTCACTCCAAAGAAGCACTGCCTTGGCAACTGCTGAGAGCCAGCTCAATCCAACCGTTGCCGTTGAGGTTTCAGGTTACAATTGAAACTGCCAGGAATTAAGGCTGAAAGTCGTACCTACGCTTTACGAGTACGTCTTACGCTATTTAGCACAAGCAAGCAGGTTCATAAAAATATGTTGTTGCCAATCCCACCGCAGCACAGTGCTGCCTCGTTTTACTCAACGCCTACAAATTAACGCCATGCAGACACTAGTTTCTGTGCATGACGAAATCTTGTAAGTTCAGTCGAAGCTTTGCGTAAAGCAAATTAAATTGGTCCTTTTGACTTCAGAGTAGATTCAATCGAAATTCGCCCAGAGCCCACAGCTCGAGTTCGCTTCACGGTTGCGCTGTCTACAGAACTCCCTGTCGTTTCGGACACGAAGCGCGCTCAGAGAGAGCGGGGGTTTTCTGTTTTCTGGGCACATATCGCGTAAAAAGTGTACGGTGCATATTCTAAACGCAGCTTAGACTAATTCTGGCAGGCAGGCAGGCAGCTGACGGGCGTTTTCGCTTGTATGATCGAGTAGTGCTGCCTGGTATTCGGGCCAGCGATGTTGCGTCCGCGTGCGGGAAAGGGTGGATGCTGTGCGAGGCTGCATATCCACAATGGGGATGGGGGCTTTGTGTGGTAGGCAACCAGCACAACAGGACTTGTGGGGGAGGTTCAGCTACCGACCGACCGTATTGCATCTACAGTTGACGTCGTTCAGAAATTATGCAAGGGTTAACACGATTAACCAGAATCATGTTCTTCCGTCGTCAGCGCCCTGTGTGGTTCAGTCAGCGGAACTAACACGCAGACGTATTGGCGTTTAAGGCTCATTGGATTTGCAAACCTAAAGGCATTTGTTTCAAATTCTGATGCTCAAAACAGAACAGTGAGTAGCAGACTACTCCGGGTTTAACAAGTGGCCATTTACACAAGCCTTTTTCACCAAAAATTTGTACGCATGTCTTGTGTCTTCCACCTTAGCCACGCCCGTAGACTTCACCGTCGGCGGCTGTATAACTCACGAACGCCCTGTATCGCGAACAGTCTGCTTGCTGTTGGTCCTGTGGTCGTGACGCTGGACAGACTTCAAGACGGTGGCAGCGCACGGCGCCGAAAACCCGTAAGACCACAACGAGCGCGCCGTCGGAACCTCAAATTCAACGCGGAAGAGTATTTTCGCTGCGGTAACGAATTAATTCCACAAGCAGAGGGCAGCAGTTTGCCGCGTGGCGCTGGCAATTTCAGAGCGTTTGCCAAATGTTGCCACGGAAGGGCAAAACGCCGGAGGACGTCCGACCCAGCAACTTCACGCCAGAGCGTGCTCGGATTCCAAGCACTGTAGCTGACTGCAGCGCACAGATAGCTGGGCGGTGGGGGGGAGACCCCCAGGAGGGCTGACAGGCAGCATCCAATATTGCCTCGATGAAGAGGGTAGGAGCAGGGGGAGGTGAGAGGCGACGAGTGGGGGTGGAGAATGGATAAGGCAAAAAGAATCTAATAAACGGTAAGTTTCTGCAACTTCGTTGATGGTTTACAAACTTCAAATAAGAAATTTGAAGCCTGTTCGCACCATCACACCGTTTCTTCAAGACCCGTATTCACGTTGTCCTTCTACCTAAGAATTCAGGGTGTATAATAATTAGCGAACACTTTCAAATCATCATCATCATCATCATCATCATCATCTTTGTTAGTTCAAGTTACTTTTCTTTTCTCTTTTCTCTCCATTTTAGAACAGCTGACTCGAGGCTTTCGAGGTTTTGCGGGTCACAGTTCCGAACTCACGACAAAAGACCGGCACAAATGTGTTTGTTCGTCTCTGGTGTGACTTAAGTTGGTCCCAGTCGGACACAAAGACACTTAAAATACTCGGCAAATCAAATCAGTCAAATCTTTCGGACGGGTTACGCGGCTTTCGTTTTGCAGATAATCAAGGGGAGGAAACGCTGGCAGACGCAATGAATCGACGACGCAAATGCGTCCAATTTTCAAACCAGATTCAGTGTGTGCGTGCGCCACTGTCAAAGCACGAACACAATTAACAAGAATGAATGAAGCAGCCATGAAACTGGTAAAAATATTAAATTTGTTCACGGACCTGCTCTATTAAGGTCCCCGTCAACTCCATTTCAGGGACAACAGGTTCGGATCCCTGAAATACAGCAGAGCCAAAAAGTTAGAATTCTAGAAATCCATTCACAAGAAAAGTGCATTAACGCAAACTCAGCTTTTCGTTTGTCGTCTAACCCAACCTAACTTTTGTTTTTGCTAACCTAACGCTTGCCAATGTAATTCGTATGAAGGCTATGTATTTTGAATTTTGAAAATTTTCGAAAACTTTTAATTTTATGAATTTTTGCAAATGTTTCTAATTTTTCGAAATTTTCAAAATTGTTTTCACTTTTGAAAAATCTTCAAAATTTTCAATTTTTAGAGATATTTGGATAATTCCGGATTTTTTAATTTTTCAAAATTCTGAAACCTTTTCCAATTTTGAACATTTTTAATTCCGAAAATTTTCTAAAATTATTAGTCTCATGAACATTTTAGCTAAGTTTGGATATTTACGTGATTTTAAAAATTTAAAATGTTTTGACCGAACCCAACATAACCTAACCTAAAGCTGATACAGCGATTAAAGAACACAGAGACACAACATCACAGACAACAAATAAATACACAGTTCTATTTTAATATTAGTTTGTATTACCCCATCGCAGGTCACGACGAACGGATATGAACAAGTTGTTATGAACCCCGGAGTTTAGTGTGTACTGCGTTCACGACACCCTTCACTGGATGTAACCTGAGCCGCTTTAATCCATGCAACACCCTCAAGACCCCTTTTAATATTATTCCCCACACAGAGCGGGCAGTTTGTTTGTTTGCTTTGTTGCTGGATTTATCACTCGACAGGCCACACTGACCGGAAGTACAGCGAGCTGTTTTATCGAGTTCATGTATTGTACAATCCGCACCCCTCAGCCCCCATAATCAGAGCAGTAATTTGTATGACCTCTAAGGTCTGGGGAGAACTGCACCCAATAATTCTGTCACAAAGACGCCCTCTCCTTTTCTATTAACCAACATCAACACCGATCTCATGGCCAAAGAATTCTAATAAATTTCGATTCGTTTTGCTTTCAATGCAGTTGGGGGGGGGGACGGCGACCCATTAATTCACAAGAGGGCTAAGTTGGTGGAGGCAAAATTAAAGCTCGGATTCATATGAATGAGAGGTCGACGGAACACAAAAGAGTCGATTATAAACGTAAGAGAGACGACGACGTGAATGTTGGGGCGCTCTCTCTCTGATGAATGAACCTACGCTCGTACAGGTGCACGGAGGCCGATATTAAATCCCAAGTTTCCAACAAGGGAGAGCAGCCGACCGGGGGGGACACTCGGTAAGTGACGTCAGCAACGGACGGTTCTTGGGGGCAAGCGCCCCTGCCATGAGATATTCTGTAACAGGATTTTACGCCGACGTAAATCTTATTTCTAGGAATTAAAACACATTTATGTCAAAAGCGGCATTTAATAAGGACGCCTACGTGGTCGAAACAACAGAGAAATTATGTTAAGTAAGAACTGAAGTTTAAGTCACATTAATCCGTTGATGCAAACCTTTTAGTTGCGTTATGCAGGGAACGTCCTACTTTTTTACGTTCAGTAACTGCGCTCTGCCTAAGGCGTGTTTCTTGCTGTAATCAGATTAAACAGCGATTATTTTCTTAAACGACGTCAACCAGCTGATCTTTGTAACTGCGAAGTGTTGTGTTTTCTTTGAGGTACGGACTGGATTCTGACACACAGAGACGAGGGTCGGCTTAAAAGGGTTAAGTTACAGAACTCAGCGAAATTTTATGTCAGGAAGGAGACTGCCAGTCTGATAGGCCCACTTGTGTGGAGGCGCTGAACAAGAAACCTCGGCCATGACAACTGTTGCTACGTCCGAGTCCTTCGGAATCGCAAATCGCGATATTGAGTCCATAAAATGGCCTGCAGCTGGCCAGACAGACAGACAGACAGGCTGCACACCCCTGGAGAAGGGGCGCACGCGATACCCACGGAATGAAATGCGTTCTAAATTAATTCGCTGTAGCATTTTCTTCCTCACTCTGACAGAACATTTATGAGTCTGAAGCGTTATTTTAGTGCGTAGTAATATTTACGTCAGGAGTTCATAATTATTACATGAAGCAGACGTACAGGCCTTCTCTCAACGTATAAAAATGTGCTCTAAATTTGAAACCAGTTTCATAGGTGAGCGCTGTTCTGCCTGCCTACGGTAGGAATGTTAAGGCCGCATGCTTCGGATGCCTGCCATGTTTCCGTCAGCCTCCAGCGCCCCTCCCTCCCCCGCTCCTCGCCCCGACTGCTTCGCGC